TAGTGGGTGCATTTTTTAACATTGTTTAAAAATGAATCAAATGCTCGAAAGTACTGACTGTGCCCTAATGACGTCTCTACTCCAAAACACAGGGCACCCTTGGTGCCCACACTATCCGGGCTTGGGCATTTCTACCTCTCTGCTGCCCTCTACTGACCCAACTTGGCTTCGGCACAAGTCACTGGCTCAGGATCTTTGCTGGTCAGCCTTCCTCTGAGTGTTAGAGGAAGCACTGAAAATGTGCGACTGCCATTTTGTGAAAACATAGTCACCACTGAGATGCACAGAGTGAGAAAAGTCGCAAGTCCCCTGCGACCTCCACTCTTCCAAGTGAAAAACAGGTGTTGGGAACTAATGGGAAACAGTACAGGACTGTCCAAAGAAATACTTGGTGAGCTACCTATGACCCTACGACCCAACCGCACCCTTTATAGTACTTTTCTACTTTCGTTCTTGCAACAATTCTGAATGTTAGGTACTCATGTCCCCATTATCTAATTAGAAAATAAAGCTAAAGAGGGTTGGGGCTCACAGTCAGGCTACCAACATCCCGTGGCTTGCTGTGTGCCGTGCTGAAGGACAACACAGCCTGTTGGCCAACATGTCTGTGGTAAATGTCCTTCTAGAAAATTTCCCTGTAAAATGACTGTATCTACCCCTCCTAAATGGAGATAATGACTGACAGGTGACTATACAGTTTTAACTATGAATGATATGAAATTTTTTTGGCTTTAATGCTTAGTAAACAGAATGAGGTCGGGGTGCTAAAATTCTATCAGGAAATCCTGGCATGGCAGGCATGGCCACCTGAGTTTAAGACTTTTGTTTTTGAGTATGAGTCAGTTTGTGAGTGAGTTGCCATTGAGGAACAAATTAACCAAAAGTAAGTTCTTAGACTTTGAAGAAAAGTCTACCTGACAAGTCCCTACAGCCCAGGACCTGTGATGTCAACAAGGAAAAGGGGCACAGATCTGGGACAAGGGGACAACAGAAGGCCCCATCTTGGCAGGTGCAAGGCATGTAGTGTACCATTTGGGACACCTTGGGGAATATTCACCCATTTTGCTTTGAGCACCCTGCAGACTTGTCTTCCTCTGTCCCTTTCCCCTTTCTTTTTTCATCTTTTTTTTTTAATTTACACTGCTTCTCACCGTGGACTAAGTAGATGAGTGTGGTCCTCAAATTCAGATTGAAATCCTAAGCCCCAGTATGACAGCAGGTGAAGGCGCGGCCTTTGGAAGAGGATCAGATCATGAGGCTAGAATACTGGGAAGGAAAAGGGGCCTTTATTGAGGACCCTAGTCTCTTGATCCTTCCTACCTTGTGAGAGATGTTAAGAAGACAGTCTTCTGCAACCAGGAAGATGGTCCTCAGAGGAACTCATCTCTGTTGGTACCCTGATCTCAGACTTTAGTCTTCAAGATGGTGAAAAATAAGTTACATGGTTTATACATGAACATTCCAATCTGTGGTTCTTGGTAAAGCATCTTGAATAGACATACGCAGTTCTGTGTTCAGAGTGGATGTTAGAAACAAAACTTGAAAAGGTATATCAAGTGCTGAGATATTGACTCGTCTCTTTTGGGTGAATGGTTACCATTATATAGATGACGACACTGAGTCAGACAAAAGGTACAAGGTCTAGTTAGAGCCACTCAGCTCTCAAGGCAGGACAAAACTGTGTTCTAGACAGGTGAAATACCCACACTGCACAATTCTAGGAGCACAGTGGTATAGGCTATGCACATAGTAGTCTTCTTAGCTAGTCACAAACCTAGCAGCTGTCAGGCTTCACTGTTCCTCCAAATCTGAAACAGAATTTCTAAGAAGACTTATCTGAAAGCATCCTCAATGGCTTTATAAAAACTTTTCTACCCTTCCCAGGACTTTAGCTGAAGGATTGTCAGGCTCTAACAGTAGGCAGATGAGCCCTGAAGGAAGGTATCTCAAGTCTCAGAGGGTCAAGTACCAAAGTCTCAGCCCCATTATCATAACTACTCTCGATATTGTTATCACTGCTAGCTTTTAGGTAATAAGTGCCTGCTTTCTAGAATCACTGAGAAACTAGAACATTCCCTCCCGATGCTCTCATTCCCATCATGTTCCCACACTGGCTTGCAAAGCTTGAGAACTAAACGTGACTCCCATTCTTTAGTCTAGTGATTTCCTATTGTGGTCTGTAATAGCTCAGCTTCTCTAAGCAGTTAATGACAGCTAATTAGTTTCCCATTCTAGATAAGATGCTTTTGTAGGCCTCGGGACATAAACTACTGGGTACAAATGAGGCTTTATTCACCATAATTGCCTAAGTCCAGGAGATAATAACTCCCTCCCCTGAGTGTCAGGGTGATGCAAAAATTGCACAGATATCCCATGAGGTCCCTTACTTGTTATGACCAGTTCTGTGACCTTGAGTGAAACTACTCTCCTGGGAAGCTGGTTTGGACACCATCAAAGAGGTGGTGGTGTGGGGGAGAAGGCACAGGCCACTGGGAAACCAACCATTTCTTGTTGGACACAAATTTCACTGGTACCCTAAATTGTTCTTTTGGGAAAATGTTACTCTAGTTATGAGGTAGTGACATGTACCCTCAAGACAAAATATCATCCAAGACTAAACGTTCTGCTCTAATCCCAAGTATGATCTTGCGTGTTGTACAAGGGGTGGGGGAAGGCAGCCTTTCCAGAGAGGTGCACTGAGCACCTGAGCAGGGTCCTCGGGTTCCATGGAGTTTTGCTCATGGGGAACACCATGTATATGCTCACAAAATATACCTGGCCACCCCTCACTGTCCTCAGGAAGCTACATGGCAAAGAAGAACCCATTACATATGGCCATCTTTGTTCAGGCTCCGTTACACTGAATCTAAAGGAACAGTTTGTTACTCAGAGAGTTAAATTTTGCAGGTAGAAACTTTTACTATTCATCTTTTGATTGAGATCAAAAGCCAAAGTGGAGAACCGCACACAGACTAAAACCTTTTGATGTGAAGTCATCACAAAGCAGGATCAGGAGAGAGAACCAGGGAAGAGAGAACTGATAACTTAATAGTCATTAAAATGTGATTCCCTACTTGATGGAACACTCAAGAAAGAAAACATTAACAGATATTTCAGAATCATCTGGGATCTGGCCATAGAAAAAGCCAAAGTATCAGTCAAGACAGAGTTAATTTTCCACAAGGCATATTCACTAAAAATCACATAAGGACACCCTCCTCATTTTATGGACTGAAGCTTAAGGAAGATACTTGAACCCAAAATCGGTCAAGTTTAGAGAATATGCTAATTTTCTTCTGGTAATAATTTTAGAAATCATGGATTTTCTTTTCCAAGCAATTATTTTAATGAATCAATTGGGGTTTCAAGAAACAATTAAATGAGCTTGATTTGGTCTCAGGTTCAGCAAAATGAGATCACTCATTCTGGATTTGGGTCAGCTGAGGTCAAGTCTCCTGTCCAAAGCAGAACAGCAGGATTGGGGTAGTTTTCTCTTGTGTCCTTTCTTTCCTTTGCATTGTCTTTCCCAAACATCTTTGGGTCCTTTTCCAGTGTGTGTGTGTGTGTGTGTGTGTGTGTGTGTGTGTGTGTGTGTGTTAGTATGAACATGCATGTGTGTGTAGAAGCAGAAGTCAATGCCTATCTCTCCCTTAATCACTCTCCATCTGATATTTTTAGATAGGATCTCTCTCACTGGGATCCAGGGCTTCCTGGTTCTGCTTGACTGGTTAGTCAGTGAGCCCCAGCAATCCACCTAGTTCCTTGGATTACAGGTGTCCTGTACCATGCCCAGAGTTTTATGCAAATACTGGGGTCCTCTTACTTGTGTGACAAGCACTTCACAAACACAGCCATTTCCCGAATCCTGGGTCCAGTTCCTATTGAATGAATATGTATATGCATATATACATGCATATATATATATATATATCACAACTTTTAAACTTATTCTAAGATCTCTGAGTTCCAATGAGAAGTGAAGGAATAGTAATAATTTTCCTTGTACAGAAAACTGGGCATTGGATAATCAGGAATGTATCCTTTTACATTTTTTAACATTTATTTATTTTGTGTGTGCATACATGTTTTTGTGTATGTATGTATGTTCCTGTATATGTGCCATGTGGAAGTGAGAAGTCAACTTGTGAAAGTTGGTTCTATTTCTACCATGTGGGTAGTGGTGGTTGAACTTGGGTTGTCAGGCTTAGGAACAATCACATTTCCCTGCTTGAGCCTTCTTGGCAACCCCAATTGTTTGTTTTTTTCTGATTCTGTTTGTATTTTTTTAAACAGTTCTCATTATGCTTCTTGGGATAACTTCAAACTTGCTGTGTCATGGCCCTGGCTGGTCTGGAACTCACAACCCCCCTCCCTTAATCCTCCACGTGTGAGGATTGCAGGCATGTGCCACTATGCCTGGCTTTATGCTTTCCCTTTAACTAAGTTACATTGCTAGATACTCACATCACCCAGAGAAGCTACACAGCAATACAGGTAATCATTGTACAATTAACATGGCCCCTCCCGATACAAGTGTCCACAGTGATGCTAAACCAAGCTGAAGTACCAGCACCTCTGTAAAAACATGGTAGGTTCATCAGGAAATATTTTCTAAGGAATAGCACAAATGCAAACATATGAGACAGCAGTTCTCAGCCTGTGCGTTGTGACCCCTTGGGGTGGGGAGTCAAATAACCCTTTCACAGGGATCCCACATCAGATATCCTGCATATCAGATATTTACATTACTATTAATAATGGTAGCAAAATTACAATGATGAAGTATCGACAAAAGTAGTTTTGTGGTTGGGGTCACCATAGCATGAGGAACTATATTAAAGGATGGCAGCATTAGAAAAGTTGAGAACCACACTGTGAGGCCAATGAAAGGAGGAAAACACCATTCCTTTAAAAGTTTAGAATTGCAGAATAACATGGGTGTTGGGAAGAGGCCATGGGGTAATGGGTAAGGCTCGGTGAAGCTCCCATATGTCTCTTACCTGTGATGGTGGCTTTGTTGATGGATGGTTGATTGCACATGGGTGATCTTCTAACAAAGAGAGAAAACACAAAATGGTAAGTGCTTTTTGACTTCTGTACCCTGAGTTGTTTGGAACATGCCAGCCCCATCTAAAGAATTATTTTAAAGTTGTGACATGAGCATAAACATTAATTCATATTAGCCAGGAAAGTTCTTAGATGCTCTTTCAATGTGGCCCAGACTACAGAAGAGAAAAGAGGGAATGAGTAGAAAAAGTCAGCTTGAATCTTGTGGTTGGACATTGGGGGGAGATAAAATAGACAGGAACGTCACAGGGATGTGTCTGGAGATGGCATTCTTATTGGCTGACTGCATTCAAGTATTAAATTAAGTTAGGTCATGCCAAACAAAACAGACTTTCTGAATGTGGAAATGTGGTCATTTGTAATGGTTTTCTTTGGTGCAGCATTAGAAACTTATTTCTGGGTTATAGTCTCATGATGTCTAGCGCATAGCCAGGAGTGAATGATTCCTTCTAAACAATCCTGCAAATGGAGAAGGTATGTGAATGTTTTTCCTTTCCAGTTTCTTCATTGAGAAGCATCTCAGGCATGTTTATTAGGTATATTAATAGTATGTCTGCACGGGTGCCTTAGAAAGTTTAGTGTCTTATAAACTCAATGTACTTCGAGAGACTCCCTTTGGTATTCGTCACTGTTTCTTCAACTGTTTGCCACTCCCACAAGACAATTATAGATACCTTTAGGAACATGCCTGCTGTGCCATTCTCTGTGTAGGTCAACATGATGTATATAGTATTTGTTTGGTCAGTGCTAACCAAACTATGTTGAAAAGCAAAGTCATTTATGAGACATCCATTAAACAATTTGGAAATAAAACTTTTCAAAGTTATTTCATGTAACTGGTAGTCTTCAAAGGGCAGCAGCATTGAAAAGTCCCAGTTGTCTGCAAAACACCTAAGGCCTTTTTCATGTGTGTGCATGTGTGTGCAAACACGAGCTTTTTCTAGTGGTTACCACTCACTAAGTCTTGCACTGTGTACTTTACATGAGTTTTCTCACTTAATCCTTATGACAAGCCTCAAGGCTGGTGAGCTGATTGCGTGTAGTTTGCTGGTGAAGAAAGCAGTGAGGTTTGATGAGTTGAAAGTTTCAGAATATCAGAGCTAAGATGTGAACTAGAGGACTGGCACACTAATGCCACACTCTGCTCTGGTGTCTCACTTTTACAAGTGTGTGGGGGGGGTGAGAGAGAGTGTGTGTGTCAGTGTATGTTAGAGACACACCACACACACAGACACACACAGAGGGAGAGAGAGAGAGAGAGAGAGAGAGAGAGAGAGAGAGAGAGAGAGAGAGAGAGAGAGAGAGAGAGAGAGAGAGAGAGAGAGAGAGAGAGAGAGCTGGACAGTCACACATATGTGCAGATTGTGGCTAGTTCTTGACATCTACCCTGCTGATAGGCTGTGTCTGTAAGCCAAGATGCAGGACACCTAGAGAACTAGTCTTAACATTATGTAGGCTTCCACTGGCTCTACTCAATCACACCACTGTTCTTATGTTTATTGGTGCATGTTTTGTATTCTAATTTTGTGTGACTGAAGACGTACAGAGATTTACATGTATTACTTTATATTTTTATTATTAAATAAAAAGTGGCAATGCGAACTTAATAAATGCTTCATAAAACAAGAGTTTGGTGTTTTAGACAGCTTCTCTGGCTGATGCAGCTTGGCTATGTTCTTGCTCAAGGTTGATTATGCACGTGTGACAGCATGCGCAGGGTTGCACTGCTGTAGATTAGACTTTATTGATAAGGATTTTCATGCACTCCTTGCTCTGTAAAACTTTAGAAAGTATTCCCTTGGCATGGGAAAATCAAATGAAGATGTCATGCTTTTCTATAGTTTTAGGAAGGGAAATCATTGCCTTGTTACTATTTATCTTTTCCTAGGATCAGTTCTGGGGCCTACATGTGGCAACATGGCACCTCGAAGAGTAACAACAACACATAAGTATGGATCATTACAAACACGAAGACATTGGTGTATCATATCATTGGTGAAGAATGAGCCAAACTTCACTTCTGGGACGTATATGGCGAGAGAGCAAGGTGATAGAAGTGAACAGTGGGTTTAAAAATGTCAGTGATGACCTCAGGTCACCCATCTGGGGTCAAGCCTAGGCACATTCTCCCTCAAAGCCTTTCCTAGAGAAAATAAAAAAGGCACATCCCCTCTCCTAAGTGTGATGATGAACTTGGAAATGTTCCAGAGCCCTCTAGAGCAGCCGTTCTCAACCTAAGGGTCAGCACCCCTTCAGCAAACCCGCATCTCTAAAAATAGAGCAGCAAAATCACAGTTGTGAAGTAGCAATGGAAATAATTTTGTGGTTGGGGTCACCACAACATGAGAAACTGTATTAAAGCGTCACAGCACTAGGAAGGTTGAGAACCACTGCTCTAGAGTTATTATACAATGTGCTCTTTGCTGTCCCTGAACAGAACTAGCGGTAAGGAGGTTGACCCCTGAAGTATGATGGCCCAGGGATCTGATTTAGCTTTAAACAAAGATGAGGTACACATCTGCACTGTCTAAATGTGCTGGCTCTTTTTGTAGTCTGCTGAACAACTGTTTGGTTTGGTAGCCATCAATCAGCACGGGTATTGTACCCAGTCGAGTTAGATGGACATTCCAGGGCTAGCTATGAGATTCTGACATCCCTCTTTCCATTTAAATCTGCTCTGTCCCTGGAAATCTGCTTGGTGTAGAATGGACGTCTCTTCAGAGACACGAGGGCCAGTATCATGCCCTCACATCTGTCACACCTGTCAGACCAACTGTCATGAGTTTAAATGCTGTTTACCGAGGTGACAGTAACTGAAGGAGACTTAAAGGAGGTTTGTTTCTTATTTGTCTTTTAAAGACAAAGAACTCCATTTCTCAGAGGAAATTTGCAAGGAAATAACTTAATTTTTTCCTGCTGAACTGAGGCTTTACAAGAGTGAGGGGACTGTTCCTATACAGTGTGAAGAGCCCAAGAAGCTTGCTAAGGTCAGCATGACACGGTACAGCTGGCCATGCCGCACAGAAGATGCCACTGGAAAAATGGATTCCTCAAAGCACACAGCTGGGGTGCAGATGCTTTCCCACCCCTTGACTGTGTGTAGCACCTGCAGGGTGGTGGCACTGTATTAGGATGGGAGCTGGGGATACCGATGGGAACAAACTACAACCCGTGGGTAATTTCCAAAGTAAGTAGGACCTGTGGTAGTGCTGTGAGTGTAACTGGCAGAGGCCCTTTCCTTCCAGGTGGCTTCTGACAAGGTGGGATCAGTGCATTCATTCACTTGTCGAACACCAGAGTAACTCTAGAAAATGAAGTAGGTACTGTACGAGACAGAGCACACGGCTGGACAGCAGCAGTGGTTCACAGATGTCTAATGTATTGTCTTGAGGTCAGCTCAAGCTGAGAGGACACTAACGGTTTGGACAGAAGGGGAAGGAGAGAGCTTAGCTTACTTGCTGGGAGCCCGATCTTGCAAATTAGTTAATGCAGCAAAGTTGTTTCGTACGGTTCGCAGGCTGGCCAAGACCTATGACAAAAAAAAGAGATTTTTTTTAGGATTCCTGAACTGGTGCCAGTTGGAATGCAGTTATAGAAGTTGGAATGCTTTTTAAAGAAGAAATTTTATATTGCTTGCAACTCAGTTTCATATACCATTACAGACTCTTCCAGAACTTAGGAAAGTTTTTAATCCTGGAATATGAAATCCAGGGAGGTTAGATTCAAGATTTGTGTAGAAAGCCCCTCTCACTGGCCTTGCTTGTTGTAACAGTAGCAGCAGTAGGCTCATCTACCGTCATCTATACAATGTCTCCAGAAATTGCAATTATGGCACACTATATATAAAACACTAGGAAAGTTTCAGTTTAGTGATTAAAACATAAAATTAGCCCTGAATTCTCAGAAAAATTTTCAAGATTCCTATGATCTTAGATCAGGCTAACTAAATCTTAGTTCTTTTTCCATCTTTGCACGGGTCTGTGCTAGCTAGTTAGTCTACAGATACTCTTCGCCCTTAGAACGACTGTGCACATTGTGGAATTTAAGAAATCCCCCAGAGAGGCATTGATCACAGAAAACACCAGTGCTCTATATAAAGGGTACTTTTCTGTACACTTCCTAGAACAAAGAAAGTGTTCAGTAAAATTGTGTTGGAGAAATGAATGCATGAATACAATAGATCTACATGTATGTGAACATGCCAGGAAGTAGATGGCCTCACCTCTGCTAGCCTCTTTATCCTAACTCCAGTTAGAAATAGAAGATGTCTAAGGGATGGCAATGTATCCTGGAGAGAAGTTATGGGAGCCTGCTGACCCCCACTTTCTCCTAGAATAGGCTACTTTCCTCAGGGGCAGAATCTTTAGTAGGATTAAGGGTGCCAATAAAGACCTCCATGCTTATTAGAGCTCTGAGTTTGTAAAACAAAAACAAAAACAAAAACAAAAAACCAAAAAAAAAAACCACACAAAAAAAACCAGACTTCCCATGCCCTGGTATATGTTATGTATTAAATGTCCACACTTGGACAAACTATGACACCTCCTGTACCTCGGTTTCCTGTGTGTTAAACAGAGATAGTTGTTTGACAGGGTTGTTGAGAAGGTTAAAGGAAACTACAGGTTAGTGCCAAGAACATTGTCTAAGCAAAAAGTATACGGTGACTGTGTGTCCATTATGGAAACTTCCAGCTAATTATCTGACACACAGACGTTAGCATAATGCTTATCAGTGGCGACACATGGAATTCTCGGATTTTTAATTGACCTAGGGACTCAAGAACTGCGCCTGAGTCTCTTCACGGGACAGTGATCCAGACGAAAGTCACTCTGTGCCTCAGGAAGTTGACTGGAACTTGTGCAAGTCAAAGGGAGCTGTTTATGCTCTGCAGTAGTGACCTTCAGCGGTCCCCCTGAAGGAGTTCACGGTGCCTCCTAGGAAGCCAGCCAGTCACTGGAAAACCTGGCTCATTATCACACGCAGCTCTGAAAGGTCACACTGCCTGTGACGGAGTATCCAAATAGCTAGCTGCTGACGTCAGACCACAGTGACTTTCATGAAGCATGAAATTCTGAATGATGCAGAAGCAAATGGATTAATGATCTAGTCATGAAATCATGCTGACTTAATTTGTGTTTTCAGATGTCAATATCAAACATGTCAACAAAGCATTGAAATACAGTTATTGCATCAGCTAAGGACTCCCTTTTCTAGACAAAGGTTTTAACCTCAGAATTTTAAGATTTTTTTTCTCAAATGCACTTAAGTTTAGTGCCTTTGGCCATTGGCTAATAAAAGCAGGAACTGAGTATTTCATTTCTATATAGAAACTGTTTTGCAGGTCATTCATAGTTTTTTGATCGTTTGAACAAAAACAAACAAAACAAAGCACTGGCCCATTAAGGAAGACATTTGTACATTTGTTCATGAACAAATGTCTTCTGTAGAGAGATTTGTTTTCAAATAGGGTTCACTGCATAGCCCTGGCTGGCCTAAAACATACTGTGTAAGACCACACTGGCCTCCAGTTCAGGGATCTGCCTGCTTCACTCCTGGCTTGCTGGGGTTAAAGGTACCTGTTGCCACACCTGGCCTATAGAAAGGTTTTCAACTTTTTTTTATACTTCTAATATATTAAACTGAATATTTGCTTGGTTTTTATCGCGTATGTTTTATGTATTTATTTCAAATAATTCCTATCTTTGGATGTTGAAGAATTTAACCAGCAAAAAAAAGTATTATCAAGCAAAAAGTATCTCCATAATCAAGATAAAAACCAAATGACTTACTGATCTAGACCCCTTGAATGTGGGTGTCACTGAGGAGGCCTAGGCAATCTATGGGGCCTTGGGTAGTAGATCAGTATTTATCCCTGGCATACAAATGTGTTTTGGGTGCCCATCCCACAATGAGGGATGCTCTCTCAGCCTGGACTCTTGAGGGAGGACATAGATCCTGCTCTGGACGAAATGACAGACTCTGGAGATCCCACATGGAGCGCCTCACCCTTCCTGAGGAATGGAGTAGGGATTGGGTGGGGGGCTGGGAGGAGGGGGAGGGAGAGGGAGCTGGGATAGACGTGAAGCAAGCTTGTTTCTAATTTAAATTAAAAAAAACAAATGACTTATTTCTTTGAACAGGAAGACACATGGGATGGGAGAGGGGACATTTAAGCATCGTTTGAAGAACTGATACTATACATTTCTTAACTGCTCGTTTTATTATTATTTCTGCCTTACATATTCACTACACATGTAGTATGACACATTTCAACATAAGAGTGAGAGAAGAAACCTCCCTCTGGCACTGGCTGCCCGCCCCTGCCTGTTGACTCTTTGCTTGTGCAATTGTGAACTCTGATGTGGTAAATGACACTGAAGACACCTGGGGGTATGCCTTAGCTCATTGCTTTGGTTTGTTTGTGATGGGACAAAGCTTGCTCTATATGTTTTATATTTAAATGTTAACAGTATCTCCCACTCTGCAACCCACACAGTGGTGGCAGAAATGTAAGTAGAAATTTTCCATAGTACTCTGCCATATTGGGTGCAGCCCTGGGTCTGGGTGATTGATTCTGGCGCTCTTCTTACAAATATCATGACGTTTTCCTCAAACACTCCTGTCTCTTGGAACACAAGCAGGGAAGCAAGTCTTGCCAGACAATGAGGAAAAGAGGATCAGGGCTCACCAGAGCCCCAGAGTGAGGACACAAGTTCATGGATTCTTTTCCACTCCAGGGCAGCTCCCTGCCATAATTTCAGCCCCAGAATCAGAAGCTAAAATCCACGCTCTGCAGGGCCTAGGATTTTCTTGTCTCTTTAACTAACTCTCACTATCAAAGGGTCTCTACAGTTTCTTCCAGCTGGCTTAGGCTTAGAAAATTAAAAAATCATTCCTTTCTCCTTTTCCACTCCCAGTAAACATATAGTTGTTTAAGGAAAACAAACAAGCAAGCAAAAACCTAACCAAAAAGTATGAGAATGTTGAAAAACTATAAATCTTTTCCTGTAGTGATAACATTACAGGAAAAATTGTCCATTTTTAAGTGAAGGGATGGAAATTTTTTTCTGAATCGTTTTCCAGTCCATACACAGCTTATGCCACTGGGTGGCAGTAGAATACAGACTATGAGCTACAGGGCAGGGAGGAGGCAGTGTGTCCTTGTGAGGTCAAAGACACTTCCTTACTTAGGCTTCACCTGGGGGTGGGGGGAACTAGTGGGGAGTTATTTACAGGATAAAAAAAAAAGGCTACTTTGGTTGAAAAATCAGACCTCTCTCCAAGTTATACTTTTATTAAAACACGTGAAGTGAATGCTTCTGTTATGTCAGAAAGTTCTTAGTGATTTCATAACGACTTAGCCTTGTATGAACAGAGCTATCTGGAAGGATGTAATTCATCCTGATATACAAATTGTTAGGTTGGTTGGTTTTTAAGAAAAGTTAAACATAAAGCCACTGAAATGAGACAATGATCTTCTCCCTTTGCCCAGCAGAGGTCCCCGTGTATTCAATGAATTTGGCTGCACTGCTACTAGGTGCAATGGGAAGGGACATGAAGCTTAAAAATATATTGGTGATGACCTATTACTAGTGGAACAATAATTCTCCATCGTGTTAACAACCACTGTATCTTTTGCCCCCTCTGAAACTCTCTAGGTGTTGTAGTTTGTTTGGCATAAACAAAATAATGTGATTGCTCCCACCCCGTGTGGGGGGTGGTTTTCAGAGCAGGCCTATCTCCCACATATAAAGGACACAAGGACGTTTGTTTCCAGGGACCCAGGTAGTCACAGCCAGTGGGACTGTGGGGAAGCAGCAGCTGGCTACACAGGCAGCTTCCAGCTTCAGCTCAGCTTTAACTCCTGTGTTCAGCAGCCCTAAGGACTTCGGCTAAATGGTTATTCTGCTCATAGGGAAGAAAAGAGTGGGGGCATGAGGGGCAGGCCAGGGGTCTGCCTCCAAACACCAGACTTCATGGCTAAGGGAATAAACTAAATGACTCGAGCACAGAAAAGATTTGTTCTAAAATAAAACACACAAATGGATTAAAGCTAATACTGTTTCCTGTGGGTCAGGGAGCCTTATGTGAGAAAGCTCAAAAACTTTAGCATATAAGAGTTCAGATGCTAGTTAGTACCTATATCTTGTTATGATTTGGGCATTAGAATAAAACACGGAGAGACTCTATAGACTTAAATAATTAGATCTATCCAAGAAGTTTGAGGTCTCTTGGTGCTCAACTAAACAAATGGTCCTCAACCATCTATATACACTTCCAAACACTTTAGGTCATTTTAACATCTCATATCTATGCCATGGAGTTGAAACATTTTTGTCTCTTACACACAAACACAAATGTGTCACTCAGCTAAATCTTTGTATAAATAGCACATGTTTAAAAAAAGGGCAGTAAATAAAGTATCAGGTTGAACAGGATTATTGAATTTCAAACACAGATCATGAACTAATTATACTATATGCAATTTAATCCATGATACATACAGTCTTCTCCTTCAGGTGCTAATTCCAGTTAGGGAAACAGGGGCTAGCTGAGTACTATCTCCCTTAGGTCACTTGTTATCTGAGGTAGTGACACTTCTCAGGTCTAACAGCCTTACCCAAAGCACATGTGTGGGGCTAAGGCTATGTTCTCCATCATTGCCTTTTAATTATTTGAATGAGCCAAACAATCTGCATCCGCACACTCCTGTGTGGTAAAGTCACATTAAGGATCAGAATAAAATCTCCACATCAAATGTGTAAATCTGTGAGAAGCCTGCATACTCCAAGCTGTGCTTACCTGCGCAAATGGAGTCACAATCAAGTCATCTCCATGTCTGAAAGACAAACCAAATGCAGTGTTAGATGTCTCCCACAGTGCTCTGCCCAGCTTTGATCAATATTAAATGGTGTGTTCTATTGGAAGAAGACCCCACTGGGAATTACGGTAACCCCATCTTTGTCTTTAGTACATGTCCTTCCCAGCCACTGGGCTGAACACATGTCTTCTGAGTGCTAACCATTGTCCATCTCCCTTGGTCTAAAGAGGGGATCCTTGATTACCAACCAATGTCAATGTCGCTTTTGAGGCACAAAGGATGTGCAGTAAGTAGCAAAGGGCCCTGAGCTCTGGGTCTGCACTTTACTCTTGACTTCTCATTGCGGAACTTAGCCAGGGATGCCTGCAAAAACCAGCCACAGCAGTGGCTTCCATGAGAGTACCCTGGGCCATCTAGCATTTGTAGGTGATTCGAATCAAGAGATCTGTATCGGGCCATGTGGAAGCCGTGGATAGGCCAGGAACTGTACATGCACTAATAAAAACCCCAGGAAACGTTTTCAGCTGACTCGTGTTCCAGTCACTGTACTAGCAGAGGAATATTACCCTGTGAGTGCTGTTGCTACAGTAATGTCAGCTCCAGTAGATGGGGGATACAAGAGCAAGGTGTCCTTGTGACATGTCCTGGAGAAGCGGGGAAATGCAAGACGCCATGCGACATTCTTCTTGAAAGAAAGTGAGAAACTTGGACCTGGGACTCTTTGCAGTATTTTCCCAGGATGAATATGTCGAGGAAAAGTTGTACCAGATTTTAGTTGGCTATTTCTTAATCTATCCAGTCACAAGCTGTCTTATTTGGTCATTTCTTTTTACTTATCTTGGAAGACAGAGGCTTGCTTGGTATATCAGACTGATCTTACATTTTTGGTGTGAGATCACATTCACACCTTGGCCCTGTGAATGCTGGGATTTCTGGTGTACACTGCCACATGCCACTTCAGAAAAGAATTTTCCTTCAGAAAAGATTTTTTAAATTAGGTGAATATAGTTATTTTACACACCCATTTCCTTGACATAATCCTCACTGAGCGCTGTTCACTTAAATTGTCAGCTTGTTCCCAAGCATCTGAAAAGGACCTAAGTCCCCAAACTAATACCTATGAGTCATGCAGTACAAGGAGCAGAGGGATAATACCAATAATGGGTTTATGATGATGAGACCACCATTGAGGAAAGCAGACTTCTCTCTGGGAGTACTAGGGAAAGAAGCAAATGCAGACACTTCTGGGATAGATAGAATAAGCCCCTGCAATCACTGTGGACGTTAGTGTCACGTTGGTATTGAGTCTTGTGATGTGGAAGGAGGTGCCCTGTGCCTGCTCACCTACCCTGGTCACCCTGAGCTAGGTGAAAACCTGTGGCCATAAGGAATCCCACTTCTCCCCTCTTCTGAGAGAAGGGCATGCTGGCTCCTGAGCCCATGCTACCGGAGACCTGGAGGACAGGTTCGGCGGCATGCATCGATAAGAGAAAAGGCAGTACTTCCACTCTCCACACCTTGGCCATCTTTCCCTTGCCTCTGTGTCCTTGTTACACTATTTTCCAGTCTCATTTCTGAACTAAAGAGCCAGAAACATAGACAGAAACCATGAGACTCAAAAGCAAACTTTCATATGTACAACACTTCAATAGGGGTTGGGAACTGCCATCTAGAAGACTAAGTTCTGCCAGATTCAGCTTCTGATAATGCAATTCCTTCAGTAACTGTTTCCAGACTGTGGGAATTTAGAGACATTGCCTCTTGTCAGTTTCAGTGCTGGAGGCCTTTATGGTGGTTTCTTTTCTTGTTGTTTTCCTTCCTTCCCTTCTTTTTCTTCCTTCCATAGCCTGACTGCTGTTTCCCTTCCCTTCTCTCTCTCTTTCTCCCCCTCCTCCTTTTTCTTTTTAAATAGACATATTCTTACCATGTAACTCTGTCTGGGATGGAACTTGTGTTGTAGATTAGGCTAGCCTTGAACTACAGAGATCCACCTGCCTCTGCCTATTGGATGCTGGGATAAAAGTCATGCCCCACCAAGCCTAGCTACCTCTTGTTTCTTAAAGTCAGATTTCTAATCTGGACCTGATGGGACAGGTCCACAATCCCTGCTACTCAAGGACCTGAGGCAGAAAGAACAAAACTTCAGTGCCTGGTTGCACTACAGGGTGAGTAGAAGGATAGCCTGGGCAACTTAACAAGATACTGTCTCAGAAATAAAAATATATTTAAAGGTCTTATATACAGCTCAATAGTTCACTTAGAGCATGCTTACCTGTGTTCAATCTCTAGTAGCACACACACACACACATATACACATACATGCATACATACATACACACTGAAAGACAGACACATGCACACACAGAAGCAAAATCTCTCCAATTACCTATAATTAGGCATTCAGAAAAGTGGCTTATTTCCTTATTCTGCTCCACAGGGAAATTTGTATCAGACATCAGCCTTGTAAATATTACTTATGACTTCATATAATTATAGAATACCAAGTAAGAGCTATGGATGCTGCTTAAAGATAGGGCAGTTGTTTAGCACATGTAAGGAGGACCTGGGGTACACCTCTGGCATCCTGCCCCCCAGATATCTCTAAATCCATATCTTTTTATCATCTAGCTTCAGAAAAATGCCATGACCTTAGAAGGCACTTGGTGTTCTAATACCTAAAATATCTCACTTCTAGTTAACATTTTAATAATTAATAAACAACTCCATCACAAGAATTCAAATAACCACATTATAAAGAATCACAGGCACTCTCCAGGTCAAATGTACCAATGATTGACAAGTGCTTAAAAGCACTCAGCATTTGAAAAATGCAAATTTAAACCAATATATAAACTCTCACTTCTGAGAGGCTAATATCATGTTAAAAGGCAAAAGACTGCCAGGAGGTGGTAGCACATGTCTTTAACCCCAGCACTTGGGAGGCAGAAACAGGTGGATCTCTGTGAGTTCAAAGTCAGCCTGGTCTAGAGAGCAAGTCACAGGACAGCCAGGGCTACACAGACAAACCCTATCTTGAAAAAATAACAACAAACAAATATCAAAAGATCATGTGTCTTCTTTACGTCAACAGCAGTACAACAGGCTCATTAAAAAAAAGGTCAAAGATACTTCAAGAAAAGATCAAAAGTGACAACCGACCATACAGAGGTGTCAGGAACTGTGGACTGCCACTAGGACTCTAAGTGGTTTCATTCACAGAGGAAGTTTATGAAATTCATCCAAAGTTGAAAATATTGCCCCTGGAAGATTCACAATTCATTTTAGGGTATACAGCCAAAGAAAATGGCAGCACATGTCACTGAGATATCTGAGCTCCCAGTTCATTGCCGAAGTAGTCCCAGTAGTCAGGAATCATGACACAGGCTCATCTTAAGTGTTCATCAATAGGCCGGAAGACAGAAGACAAATAAAATGTGGTATACATACCACCCAATAGGACTTGGAATTTAAAAAGAAAAGCATTTGTTACAAGATGCATGAAGCTGAGGTTCACTATGCTTAGTGTAATAAGGTGGACAAACACCTCATGATATCATATGTGTGAGGACTCTAAAACCAAAGCAAAACACCGAGCTTAGAGAAGGAGAGCGAAGCATTGGTTACTAGCACTGGGAAGTGAGGTGGGGTTAAAAGCTTCTGAGGAATAAACTCATGAGATTTATAGCACAAATTGTTGGTCACAATGAACAATAATGCACAGTACACTTGAAAATAGCTAACATGTGATTTCCTCATCACAGAAGCAATGACTGTATAGAAAATGATACATTAATTAGCTCGGTCCAATGATTACACAATTTAGACTCATATTAAAACCTTTATTGTACATCTCAAATGCAGACAATATCTTATGTGCAGGTTAAAAAATACATTCTAGAAAAGAGTTAAGAGCAGGCCTGATCTTTGAATGAACCAAACCAAACCAAACCAAACCAAACCAAACCAAACCTTAACAGTGAGTGTAGTGGTTTGTGCCTGTAATCCTAGCACTTGGGAAGTAGAATCAGGAGTTCAGTGTTGTAGTTTACTATATAGTATTCAAGGCTAGCCTGGGTGGCAAGACACTCAGTGTCAGAAACAATAAATAAAGCAAGAGAGATGGACCAACCAGAAAATCACTTGCCTCACAAGACTGAGGGCTGAATTCGATTCATGGAATCCCTATTTAAAAAGCCCAGGCATGGCGGTGTATTCTTTTAATCACAGCATTGGGCAAGATGGATGGATCCCCAGAGCTCACTGAGCAGCCTGTCTACTATATCTGGTGAGCTCCAGACCACTGAATAACCATGTCTTGAAACAACATGTGGATGACACCTAAGGAACAACACTTCCATTTGTCCGCAGGCCTCCACATGTGTGTCCCTCATATACACAAATGTGTACCTGCACACACATCTGCATACACATGAACATGCACACAGGTGTATATTTACACAAGCACACCCTCAAATATAAATAAGTGGACATCATGAACTTGAAAACACAAATCCTTAGTTTTGGGCTCACATGTGCCCAGGTCTTCATTTAGAATGTGCATTGGTGATAAAGCATAAAGTGAGAATTTACTATACAACATGAACAAACATTCTGTTGTTCATGTATATATATATATATTGTTCACTGCATGTATATTGTCAGAAGAAACTGTGGCTTCCTTAAAGAAAATGCATGATGACAATTAAACCCCATCCAGTTTGTGCCGCTCTATGGGGGAGCAAGAATAATCTTTTCTCACATTTATGTACAGAGGTTTCCAACTTCAAAGGAGCTTAGAGAATGATTGCAGACATGTGCACAAAGCACATCAGAATACGTTGCTTAACAACGGCTGGTGCAGCGGAGGGAATTTTCCAGGAGTGCTGGCGTCACAAGTGGACACTGGGGCCTGCGAGTACTAGGCTGAGTTTGCTCTTCCTGACAGGAGGGAGAAAGAAGCAGAGGGCAGAGTACCCAGAGGGAGCAGGGCTCCACAAGTGCCCTCACTCTGTTCTAGG